GTTTAATACAAATTAAAAATGAAAATAAAAATAAAAATAAAAATTGAATAATGAACAATGGCAGACAAGCGTCTCTCGTCCCTCATTTTTTGTCTCCCCTTCGCTTCGGTACTTTCGTTTTCTGTGTGGCGCGTTTACACTCGCCCCTACTCGGCAGCGCATACATGGTTGCAAAATTTACCATTGGCTTTTATTTTTTTATAGTAAACGTTTTTTTTTTTCAAGGTTGAGATTTGAAGAAATAATATTTTAAATAGGCGGTTTTCCTCAACTCTTAAGCACCTTGTCGCGCTTGGTTATCTGTTGTTATAGCGGGTGATTTTGATATTAATTACGCAGGAAAAATCCAAAGAATGGTTAAGTCTCTTGACCTTTTGTTGTCGTCATTTGGTTTTAAAATGCATGTTAATAATTTTACAAGGGTAACACAAGATTCAGCGTCTATCTCAAATTAGATGTTTTCAAATTTTGAACAGGATATATTTTGTTAGAAAGATTTTTTCAGGTAATGACCAACGTGAATACAGGGACACTACGGTCCCTGTTTGGGAATCGGCCCACTGAGCAGTGGACTCAGGCTTCCCGTGCCAATCCTTGACGCGTTTCGTCCTTGTTAGGACTCATCAGAAGGACATAGGCTGAAGCTCCCTGTTCCATTGCCAACGAAAGCTCAGACCAATCAGTGTAGTTCAACGCCGGTAGGGGTATTTGCCCTCGGAGTAGTTCTTTCTGACTGGTCAACGGAGTTCAATTTTGCTTGAACAGGGAGCTTCAGCCTATGTCCTTCTGATGAGTCCTAACAAGGACGAAACGCGTCAAGGATTGGCACGGGCAGCCTGAGTCCACTGCTCAGTGGGCCGATTCCCAAACAGGGACCGTAGTATCCCTGTATTCACGTTGGTCATTACCTGAAAAAATATTTCTAACAAGTTCCATTGCCAACGAAAGCTCAAACCAATCAGTGTAGTTCAACGCCGGTAGGGGTATTTGCCCTCGGAGTAGTTGTTTCTGACTGGTCAACGGAGTTCAGGATCAGTGGCGGCTCGTGACTATTTCAAGTGAAGAGGCTAAAAAAAAATGAATTACAGTAAGGTAGGTAACCACTGCGCAGCAGGCAAAATTTGTTTTGGGGTGCCCATGCCCTCAATAATTTATCTCAAATTCAATAAAAACCATGAATACTCGAGAAAATGTTCCTTTTCTTATATATAGTCTCAGAGTTAATTTTAACGGATTGGGAATACTCTGGCCCCTCGGGCTCGCGTATAACTCCGGCCCTTCAGGCTCATATTACTCCAGCCCTTCGGGCTGATATATTACTCCGGCCCTTCGGGCTCGTATTACTCCGGCCCTTTCGGGCTTGTATTACTCCGGTCCTTCGGGCTCGCGTATAATTCCGGCCCTTCGAGCTCAATTTTTTGGGGAGGCTTAGCCTCCCCTGCCTCCTCTGACGAGCCGCCACTGTTCAGGATATATTTTGTTCTGTGCTTGATCCTTGTTTGTCGGAACATGAAGCAGTATTTTCAATTTTGTGAATTTGATGTTCCTAAAAAACTGCTTAAACCAATAAGAAGACGTGGCGCATATTCTCCAGAATTTTTTGATGGCATTTTTGCATGCTTGTTTGGAGACTGACTGGTATAAACTCTGTGATAACGACCAACCTCTGACGTTTTACCACAAACTGATATCAATGTTTAATCCTAAATTCCCCATTGTGCAGCAAAGGGTCTAGAGGTTTCTGCAATAAATATGAGGCCGAAACTCTCCGTAAATTTTCACTGAGCAATACATTTCTTATTTATTATATTAACAAATACAGATAGGCAGGAGTCAGCTGGTAACAAACAAAGGGGAGCATGGCGTATTGTTAACTCCCTGCGAGGTATAAACAAATCAAATAATAATTGGATGCTAACACAATAAGCTCTTTCAATTGTACAGTTGCCTCTCAGCTTGACAAAAATATTCCGTCTACCGGCTCCGGCTGACCAACTACCTCACCTACAGGTTGTCTAGAGATTCATTCTACTTCACACATGTAGTTGCGGGAGAGATTTAAGATATTTTGTAAGAATGAGGGTTCTTCAGGCTGGGATATTTCAACAAAAGTTCTGACAAATCTCCTCATATGTGTTGAAGCGAGCTATTGTGATTTTTATGTTCAAGCATGGTGAGGACGTTGCCTCCATTATAGACTAATATCCTTATTGCCTTATTTATCTAAAATTGTGGAAAAACTGATTAAAAAAAGAATGCTTCACTTTTTGGAAGCAAAAAATATTTTAAATAAATCCCAATTTGGTTTTCAGTCTTCCAAGAACACAAACGATTCCATCTTCAAGATTCTGGAGTAACTATATCTGAGACATATAATGATAGGGAAGTGCGCGGTGGTGCTCTGTGATCTAGCAAAATCTTTCGACTGTGTATCACATGAAATACTGTTGCGGAAACTTGAAGTGTAATGCTTCAGGGGATGTATTATTTTGAGTTGGCTGTGGTCTTATTTGTCAAAGATGTCAGGGAGTTCGTTTTGCTGATTGTGAATTAGGGGAATGAGGTGTCACGGCAGGTGTGCCTCAGGGCTCTGTACTTGGTCCACTCTTGTTCTTATCTATGTTAACGATTTACCATTAATTAACTGAAACGGCCATTGTACATACTCTACTTTAGCATAGCAAAGATCCATATTATCTCAGTGAAATGATTAACCAGGATTTGGTTAGTACCTATAAAAAGATGGTGTGACGGCAACCGTCATATTTTAAATTTTAAATGCATTTTAAATGATATTTGCTTAGACTCTCAGCCCGTCACGAAGACAAGAAATTTTGATTTGATTAGCCTCTTCAGTAAAAAACAGCACGAGGAATGACATGATGTATGGAAAAGTGCCAAAAAAACCTCTCTGGTTTTTGTAAATTATGGACCATTATACACCCAAACTCATCGTGCAAAGATATCGGACGCCAGCCTCCACATAGACAGATTAATTTAGTTTCTAAAGTTGAAGATTTTCACTCGGAGTTAAAGGATGTCTCATCACGATCAAACAGCAGTCTAACGTAGAGATGGATTCTAAAGCTATCTATAGTGAGCTGAACCTGAGTTGAACTCTGACTTGGTTCGAGTCCGTGACTCAAGTCTGGGTAAAACTTGGGTGAAATTGGGTAAAATCAGGGAGTTACCTGGATTCCTATAGAATTTTTTGTGTAAATCTTCAGCTCTGGCAACAGCAACAACACGATTATAATGGATTTCGACTAAGGCTGGAAAGACGAACTTATTTTTAGATAGAAGAGGAATACACGTGTTGGACATTTGGATGAAAATCTCCAAACTCACCGACGACAAATGGATAAGCTCCAGGCTAATTTGCAAATCTATGATTCGTCCTAAGATTTGGGCCTAGTGGTTGGTTTATTGTTACTTACCACGTTCCAATCCAAAAAAAAAATGACTCTAATCAAAATTATAACGGAAGCAAAACCAAAAAAAATCAATAGCTTAACCTCAAAAGTGCTATCGAGTTACTTTTTTGTTTTCAGATATTAACTCGAGTTTCGCATCTTAGCTTTTCTTAGGCATGCTGAATAAGCTTGAAGTCTTTTTTTAATAGTTTTTCTCAGTTACCGAGGTGTTGTAATATGAAAACTTAATGGAATATCAAATTACCTGGAAGTATGAAGGAAAAATCTATTCGGCACACTAGGTCATTGGGCAAATTCATATCTAAACTTGTTGGAAAAATGTTTAATCTTATTTTATTTTTATATTTTCTCTCAAATCCCGTTCTCATTTCAGTAACCTTGTGCAAACTCCAGACACGAAATTATTTGATACGTCGGTTTGCTTTTGCTTCAACATACAGTAACCAGATGACCTGGAGAGATAAGAGTGAAATAGTTTGGAATCTGGCACCAGCAAATGAATAAAACCTGATTGTATTGCATTCGATTCCGTTGCAATAGGTAATTTCAGAATTTCATCAAAATACTTATAAATTAAAACAACGCAAAGAAAAAAACTTTGTCTACGTTTTAAAAACAAATTTCTTAAATGATGTTAGGAAAGTAATTAGTCGAAATAATTGCTTTATTTCCACAAAGCAAACTGGAAAAATTATACTTATATCAGTTTCTCCGAACAACTGTGATTATGTTTCATCATATACATATAACAAAACGAACGTTTCTACACAGTTCGTGTCATCCTCAAGTACCTATAGAAAAAAACATAAAGAACAAAATAACTTGAGAACCTCAGAGGTAATGGTTAACAATACATATAAGGTATCTACATAAGTATGTTTATCAGGTCTGCTAGAGTGGAGCTTGTAGAGAAAATTCACAAAGCATTGATGCTACTCAAGAATTGATAATAAGAAGGGAACACTGAAGCATTTAGATAGGCAAATCGGGTAGGTCGATTTTTTATTGCTATTTCTCCCTTTCGTCGTCAGGGTTCATTTGGCGTGTGGTAAAATGTAGATAATTATTATTGCTTCTCCGGATTTGAGAATATTGATTCATATACCATCAGAGAAATTTTAAGATGAATGGGAAAAGACAGAGAAATGCTACTCACTCAACATAAAAAAGAGTAAAATATATTACTTCAGACACCTTATGATAAATAATAATCACCAATTATTGCAACTGTTCTCTGAGGGAAAAATTGAAGGTAAGGGTCACATAGGAATAAGGAACAGAACAGTTCCGGCTGGACTGGTTCCAAAACTATTGGAGAATGAGTAGGTACCTACATAGGTACTGCATATACTAGATTGAGATTCATAGATTTCTTCCTTTTAAGTTTTCAATAATAATTGTAAATTTTGACTTTTTCAATTTTTAATTTTTTACCATTTTCTTATGTTATAAAATCAATCTCCTTTTTTTTCATATTTTTGCAGCTCTGAAGATGGCAGGAAGTGTACCGAAACGCTGAATGGTTTTCATGTAAAATTTTTAAAAAAAGTGCATTCATAAACTTACTTTTTGTTTATCGCCCCCAGAACCCAGTAGACTCCTTCACCCAAGTTTTGTTTGTTTACAAAAAAAGTCCAGACAAATTTCTAAAACTCTGGAAGTCGCGCGTGATCCCACAGGTGATGCGGCAGCGTCCCGTTATGATTGGCCTATAAACCAGCGGGCGTCGCGACGAAGACTGGAAGAGAGATTTTTGGTCCAGACGCTCGCGATGCTGGCGAAAAGTTTGCGCATAAATTTAACGCCGAAGTCGGCCCACCAATTTTATTCTCTGGTTCGAGTGGTTCGGTTTTCATATCTTGATTATTAATTATAATAATAATCATTGTTTTTGAAGGTGAAATGATAATTTGATGATTTTTTTAGAGCTTGGTTTGTATTTATAAGTTAGCACGAACTTATTCAAACCATCGAACCTCCACTTGCTGGTGGGTGGCATGCCATCCTATTTTTAGTTTTTGGTCTATACCTGAGGCGGAACCACGAACAATCGCTATCGATAAGTTCTCGACAAGTTCTCACCTCGTCCACCCATCGCTCAACGTTAGTCGCCAAAATTGCCACCGCAAACGTTCGTTTGCACCGCAAATGTTCGTTTGTGGTGGCAATTTTGGACCCTAACGTTGAGCGATGGGTGGACGAGTTGAGAAATGAGGGGAAATTGTCGAGAACTTATCGATAGCGATTGTTTGTGGTTCCAGTGCAGGACTTGTATTGTTTCTAGAGGCTGTGTTTGTGTATTGACATTCTTTTCTGATGTTTTTTTTTTTAAATAATTACTTTTCTTGAGGTAGGTATGGTTAAAGTTAAAGTAATGTGGCTGGTGGCCTAATCCTAATAGGGAACTTGACCATTTTTTTTTTTTTAGTTTTAGTTTGAATTGATTTCTCAAAACGTTTGGAACTGATCTGTGCAAATAAAATTTGAATATCTTCAAAATTAACAAAGTTACAGTATTATGTTGACTGAACAGAATATTTGAAACTATACCTTTTCAACTTCAAATTGGGATTAATCAATTTCAATTTGGAACTTAGCAATTTCAAATTGGGATTAATCAACTTTTAATTGGTAACTAACACGTTCAAAATGGGAATAAACAAAGTCAAATTGGAATTGTTTAATAAAAAAAGTTTTGCAAGTCAAACGGCAGTTACGCGTTTAAACCGTATAATAAATTAAGAAAATGACTTAAATTGAAGCACCTGATGCAGAAAATGCTTGAAACCAAAATATGCTGTTTTTAATAACAAAGGCGACTGAAGAGGATTGGCTAACACACTGGGTATAAAAAAATCCACAGCTTATCGATCGGTAGGTACCCAAGAAATTGTTCGAAGGAAACGTGGGGGACAAGAAAAGCAAACATTTTAGAAGAACATAAGGTAAAAATGACTGGATACTTAGAGGAAAATCCTGAAATTACGCTGAAATAAAAGAAAAATTTGAAGAAAATCTCATTCTGATGAAATGTTTTCATTCGCAATGTGCAAATCACTAATCAGGCATGTTTAGCGCATGTATAATGCGTTGAATATGAACTACATGTCTGGCACAAATATTTTTCTCAAATTCGAAGAAATAGTTCATGATTCTCTAAGGGACTTGAATGTAATCGGAAGGGCAAACAAACTTAAAGTCTCAAATATAATTTTCTAAATTGAATAAGTCTATTCCCAATTTGAATTTGTTTCTTCCCAAATCAAAATTGATTAGACGCAATTTGAAGTTGATTAGTACCAAATTAAATATGATTAATCCCAATTTGATATTGTTAATTCTCAATTTGATTTTGTTAGTTCCCAACTTAAAGTTGTTTAGTCCCAATTTGAAGTTGAAAAGGTATAGAAGATACTTCTACGGGAGAATCAAGAGCAATTCAGTTATTAACTTTTTTATAAAGGTAATTAAAAACAAAAACGTAACTATTTATCTTCAAAACCTTGCCTGACAACTAACCAAAGCTAACTACACATAAAAAATATACAATAATAAAAATACAAAGGTAAAAACACAAAGGTAAAAACATAAAGGTAAAAATACAATGGTAAAAACACAAAGGTCACTACATAACCTTCCTCGAGAAGTGTTCTACTTCAAAATTTTAAACCTTACTTTTTTTATTTTTTTCTTTATTTCTTGTTTCACTGGTGCAGATTTTTCCACCTTCAATACTGATTCCAAAGAATTATCCAACAAACATTTATCTTTAAACGCTGGTTTAATACGATCAATTGATACATTATAGGGTTTTCCGTTTAAGTCTATTTTAAAAAAATTATTTGATTTTTCCAAACCTTTAAATGGACCATTATAGTACAGGGTGTCCCAGGGAAAACAGTCCACCCCGATTTATTGGATTTGGGAGGAGAATCTGGAAAAGCGGCCGGATACGTCGATTTTTGATTTGAGGGGGAACTATTTTTCAGTTTTGTTCATCCCCGTAGCTTTAAACCCCTAGCTAGGGGAGAACGACCCCCCAAATTTGAATAGGGGATAGGGGTCGTGTCATATCTCTTTTTGAAGGTCTCATCGAGTTCTTACGGCCCCAGAATTTCATCTCATTTTTTTCATCCGTTACGAAATGACAGCTTGTCAAAATCTTGGAAATAAACTATTAGTTTTAGTAGGAGTAAAAGCGATACTTACCCCCCTTAATAAAAATACTTGAAATTGAAGTTTTTTATTATTATTATTGATGAGGTGTACACGAGAATTGTAAATTGTTGGTATTTTCACTCATATTTTCATTGAGGGAGGTAAGTACCGCTTTTACTCCTACTAAAACATTAGTCTATTTCCAAGGTTTTGACAAGCTGTCATTTCGTTACAGATGAAAATCATAAGATGAAATTGTAGGGTCATAAAGAACTCGATGAGACCTTTGAAAAGAGATATTACACGACCCCTATCTCCTATTCAAATTTGGGGGGTTGTTCTCCCCCTAACTAGGGGGTTGAAGCTACGGGGATGAAAAAAACTGAAAAATAGTTCCCTCTCGAATCAAAAATCGATGTGTCCGAGCGTTTTCCCAGATTCGCCTCCCAAATCCAATAAATCGGTGTGGACTGTTTTCCCTGGGACACCCTGTATACGAAAACGATAAAGGTTTTTTTATTAGAATCGATCTTAACAAAAACATGCGATGAATCAAACAAATTTCAATGAAAAACTTTCTATGTGTAAAATTTGAGGTTGCTGGTTTTAAGTTTTGCATAAATTCTTTAAGTTTTATAACAAAGTCAGAAGAAGTTTGGCTTTCAGAAGCAGAATTTTCCAAAAATTCTCCGGGAATACGTGAAGTAATAATAATAATAATGCTTTATTGTCAAAAAAATTATAACATAATTTGTAGACAAAGCCTTAAAGTTAAAGATACATATTATATACATCTACATGTATACAAAGTCAAAATAAAATGATATAAACATAAACAAATATAACATGAACAAATATAAAAATGAACAAATTACCTATAAACTATGATCCAGTGTGTGGAACGCTCAAAATTAAGTCAGAAAAAAGTCATTTACTTTATATAAGGCTCTCTCTGATAAATAGGATTTTAGAGCTATGCGAAATTTAGGAAGAGATGCTATGGACTTGATGACTACTGGCAGATGATTGTGCATTTTTTTTGCGTTGTATAGAATGGAGCTCTTAATTAACTCGGAGGATGGAGTTGGCAGATAAAGATCATGCTCCGCGTTTCTAAGTGGATAGTTATGCAATGGCCTTTCTGAAATACTGGGTAGGTGTTTGCGGATAAGGCGGACTGATTCTAGTATGAAAAGGGAAGGAAGTGTTAATATTTTATATTTTTTGAAAAAATCTTGGCAATGAGCTCTATTTTTTAATTTTAGGGAATATCTAATAGCTCTCTTTTGTAATTTAAAAATACGGTCAAATTGAGTCGCACAGCACGAACCCCAGAATGGAAGGGCGTATCGAAGATGTGATTCGAAAAGGGCAAAGTAGACTGTTCTAGAAGTTGACAAGTTGAGTTCCTTGGAAACTGATCTTATCGCAAAGCATGCGGAACTTAATTTTTTTGATAAAGAATCGATGTGCGAATTCCATTTTAGGGATTTGTCTATAATAAGGCCCAAAAACTTTACGGAATCAACGACGTCAATAGTAGTAGTGTTATTAAGTACAATAGGTTGCATCGTACATCGTATATGATAGAACTTTTGTTTTCGCAGCATTGAAGCAGAGGAAGTTAGAGTCGCACCATGTTTTAATAGCCAACAAGTCGATGGACATGGTTCTATGAAGAGCTACAATATCCGGGTTGCTCCAAGTGAAACTAGTATCATCAGCAAAAAGACAGATTTTACCGCTGATGTCTAGACTAGCAATATCGTTGATAAACAGCAAAAATAATATTGGACCCAACACGGAACCCTGTGGAACTCCACATTCTATTGGCTTGCATGAAGACATCGTCGTATCAACCCTCACAAGCTGTTTTCTGTTGTTAAGATACGACTTGAACCATTCCAGAGGAGAGCCTCGAATTCCATAATGCTGCAATTTGTTAATTAGGATATTATGACTTACACAGTCGAATGCTTTAGAAAAATCACAGAAAATTGATGCTGTGGAGTGCAAATTGTTCAAGCTAGAGAAGACATTATTGAAGACAGAGAACATAGCATCAATAGTGCATTTGTTGGTTAAAAATCCAAATTGGTGGATAGTTAGTATATTATATTTATGCAGAAATGATAGAAGCCTTTTCTTAACCAATCTTTCAATGATTTTGGATAAAGTAGGAAGAAGTGTAATTGGACGATAGTTCGACTCTTGGTCCTTATCACCTCCCTTGTGCAGAGGAATAATTATAGCCGTCTTGAGGCAATCTGGGAACACTCCTTGTTGAAAAGATTTATTTATTAAAGCAGTGAGGAGATTTAATGTACACTCTGGTAAATTGAAGAACATTTTTAAAGTTAGTCCATCAGTCCCAGATGACACTTTGTTTTTTATGTCTTTAATTGTGCTGAAAAGCTCTAGTGTTTCTACGGGTGTTAGGAAGAAACTGTGTAAATTCATATTGGTACTGGAAAGATATGAAAGCGGATCGCGAGAAGGAGCTATAGTGGTCATTAAATTTTTTGCCACATTTACAAAGTAGTTATTCAGGTTCTCAGGGGAAGTAGAGGTT